ACATCATGCTTGGAAGGGTGGAGGGACAGCACAAGAGAGGAAGACCCTGGATAAGATGGATTGACACAGTTACTGAGATAATGGGGTATGTGTGTTGGAGACAGACTGGCTCAGGATCAGCCAGTACTGAATATCCTTTGGACGTCAAAAGAACAAACAAGTTTATTTTGGAGAAAGTGTGACCAGGGTGCTCCTTGGAAGCAAGTATGGTGAAGCTACATCTTACATACTTTGGGCATGTTGTTAGGAGCGGCTCGTCCTTGGAAAAGGACGTCATGCTTGGCAAAGTGCAGGGCTGGCAAGAGAGGAATACCTTTAATAAGATGGACTGACACAGTGACTACAACAATGGGCTTAAGTACATCAGAATAGGGCAAGGTTCAGATCAGTTGTCTATAGGGTCACTATGGGTCACAGTTAACTCCAGAGCACATAACAATAGTCATTTGGAAAAGTAGTTAAATGGTAGGCTGCTAACTGAAAGGTCAACTATTCAAACTTACCAGCTCTCTACAGGAGAAAACTCTGCTTCTGTAAAGATTTACAATCTTGGAAACTCTATGGAGTAGCTCTACTTTGTCCTGTAGGGTTGCTGTGAGTTAAATCAGAGTGAGGACAATGAATGTAGTTTTTACTTCTACAAATTCCTTTTGTTCCTTAGAGTTTTTCTGAGATTCTCCACCTTTTCTTTCATAACAAGCATATTTTGTGTTGTTACTGAACACTGCTTTAATGGCCATTTTAAAATCCTCTAATTCCTAAATCTGGGTCTTTGGTATCAAACTATTGCTTATCTCATCTCTTAAGCATAGATCACAATTTCTTGTTTCTCTCTATGTCAGATGATTTTAGATGATATCTTCATGTTGTGAATACTATCTGTGGGTTCTCTGGATTCTTTTATACTCTGAAGAGTTCTTATTTTTTAACATTTTTGAAAAATAACTCTTTCATTGCTATTGCTGAGAATATGCACAGTAGAACATATACCAGTTGGCATTTCTACTTTGTCCATGTACTCTGGTCATGTTGTCAGGAGGGGCCAGTCTCTAAAGAAAGGACATCGTGCTTGGAAAAGTGGGGGTCAGCCCTCCATGGGATGGATTAACGCAGAGGCTGAGACAGTAGGTTTGGGTACAGCAGCAATCCTGAGGATGGTGCAGGACAGGACAGGGTTTTGTTATACTTGGGGTTGCTAGGAGTTGCAGCCACCTTGATTGCACCTACTAACAATTATCTGTAATGGCACTGATTATATTCTTCAAGTTGTGTGTAATCATTCTCATCCCTTTTCTGGGTTGTTCCTCTTCTGTTAACATAAACTCTTTGTCCTTTAACTTTTCTAAGAAGTTACCTTTTTGTCAGTTTGAACCTATGTTAAAGACTTGAAAGGGTTCAGTACTAAAGGCAGGCATCCTTTACTTCTCAAGCTAAGCAGTTGTTTGGTTTTAAATACAGACATCAAGAAATAGTTTTGTTTTAAGGTTTAAAGATTATCTCAGGGCAGTAATTTCAAGATTCATCCAGCCTCCATGGCTTCAGAAAATTAAAAATTCTGTAATTTAACGTTCTGTTTTGCACTTTCCCACTTTTTTACCAGGTGTTGATCTTGCCTTAAGATATTAATTTTAAAGCAAACAGCTAACACTTCACATGGGTTTACTAATTCCATTTTCATCTTAGCTGGGCTATTCGCTGTTTGCCTCATATATGTGGTTCAGGAATCAAACCAGAAACTTGGTGAACATAGTCATACAATCTGAGATTTCCCTTCTCTTTCTCCTTATAGAATTCTCCATTTTTCATCCTCAATACTTGCTTCAAACTCTCTTTTGTGTGCTTCCATCCCTATTAACTTAAGCAGCCCTGATGTAAGAGTAGCTTACATACTGAACTGTTTGTTAACCTCAAGTTTGGTGGTTTCTCCACAGGAGGAAGATGGACAGTCTCCTCCTGTTAAGATTTATGGCCTTGGAAACCTGATTGGGGGTGCAGGGTTTCACCATGAATTGTAACCGACTCCATGGTAATGGATTGACTAGTTACTATCTTAATGGTAGACTTAATGCAAAAGTGCTAGTGTGCAGCTATGAAAAGGCACAATTTGGAGAAAGATTCTGGCACATTTAATTTTTACACTTTGAAACAGTCCTCATCTACTTCCTTCCAATCCTAGAGAGATGCTGTTTGCATATCTGGGTGGGAGGCGTGACCCTATGTGGGGTGAGTGAGAAGGGAGGGGCTGTAGGTTGTCCCAAGACTGTGGACAGTAGACCCCCTAATGGAGGAAGTAAGAATGGAGGAGAATGGCATCTGTGTCGCCTGCATGTTCCTCCCTAAGGACAGCACTTCCTGAGGGAGGGACACTACTTTTGGGGAATTTCTAACCTCCTATCTCTTGCCCAGAGTGTCCAGGTCTTTCTCTTTCAAAACCTGCCCTCAAGGAAGGATATGCCAGTTCTTTTCTCCATTTTACTTTCAGAGAAATGACATGTCTTGCTTTCTGGGATCTATCTTTTCTAATAAAACTGTCTTTTACCTTCAACATAAAGTATGTGACATTCTCAGGAGGATCCGAGAGGTAGAACTTGAAAATTACAGGCACTCTGCTCCGAAGGGGCCCTTGAGAGGGACACAAACCTGTGAATCTGAGGGCTGTTCAGGTGCAGTCCGGAAGCCCTAACCCACACCCTGTGGCCAGGGTGATCACGTCTTAGAAGCTAAGGGGAGAGGCCATCCTTTCCAGCTTCCTCCAGCAGGGGCTGCACAGAAATTTCAAATACCCCCTATTATGAAAGACAGAGATAACAACATTTAGGAGTTGAGAAGAGTGTGTCTTATCATGTGTGACTATACAAAAGTAAGCAGTAGTTTCACAGCCAGTGGATAGGGTAGATTATCTGAACACCCGGTAAGGCCAGAAGCAGGAAGGAGTATAGTGAAAATGGTGCTGGAAACATCCAGAACAACAGTGTACAACTGACACATGTTCAGTCCAACCCCAAGAAACTTACACAATCAACTCTAGATAAGAGGGAAAGCAAGATCAAATTGGTGGGAGACAATCAGAAAGCTTGAGGTGTTCAGGAGAAACTGGAACTTTATTGAGACTTTCTCCCTGATGAAATTGAGTGGAAAGAACACTAGAAAGGTTCCAATTTGGAGACACACAGCAACTGTTCAGGCACAAATACTTCCGGTACACCTCTCAGCAGGTCTCTGAGATCTAGATTTCCTCCCAGTGACCCCCACATCCAGAAAGAACTCAACTGGAAACCCACTCCACGGTGCTAGGCCAAGGATAGGCCTGTAAACACATTGCTGACTGCGTGTCAGGCCCTTGGGCAGCTGGGGTAGATGTAAGTCAGGGTTTGAGAAGAAAAACCAAAATCCAAGAGAAAAGGAGTCAGAAAGGTGCGAAAGAGAAAACAAACAAGCACACTGATAATGCAGCCCCTCAACACCAGAAAGCGTGTAGAGCGCCTCATCCCACCCACTCTTCCCCGAGCAAGGGGCACAGCATCAGCTGTGAGTAGGTTTGCCGTCTTCCTCTGCCCTGCTGCACTGTCTACTAGAGGGAGCTGGTGAGCATGAAGCAAAGCACAGGAGCAGGGTGGGTGGGCAGACCCCCATGAGGATGAGGGAAAGTGAGAGAAGGCAGGGGTTTGGGGTTTTTTCATTAAAAAGATAATCCCAGGGCAGATTTCAGCTCCTGGTCCCCTGGCCAGGCTCCTCAGTAGCCTCTCTCTCTGAGGCCCTATCCTGGAGACTCTGGCACCTCTGGGTTTCCTGGCTGGAGGTTCTTGGCTCTGCTGTAACTGCTGAGGCAGCAGCTCCTTCAGTGTCAACAATTCTGAGTGAAAGGATTTTGTCTGCTTGGCTCACCTGACCACCACTAACCTGCTTACAGTGCATCTCCTGGCCTCCGTCTGCCTTCTCCCTCTGGTGCCAGCTGACTTCTTGGAGCTGGGAGATCTCCATGGCCAAGCCTCTGGCCAGGAGCTGGCTCTTTTGCAGAGAAAGGAGCCCTCTGAAGAGGCCTAGCTATGTATCCTGGAATTTACAGACCACTCACTGCTGCTGCCCTCCTCTTCCAGCTAGGCAAAAATCTCCCTTGAGAAGTCCTCCCCTGTGCCCTCCAATGTACAACCTCCCTAACCCCTCTCAGACAGCATCCACACATCTCCATGTTGATTTCCAAAGACCACCCTCTTTTCAGACTTGGGATGTGGACAGCAACATTCAGATGAGAAAAACTGAGTGAGGGTCTCAATAGCAGTGGCACAAGGTGGCTGGAGAGAGCTCCAATTCCCAGGAAACTCCTCCAGATGCCATGTGTGGGGGGGGGGGGTGGAGAGTGGAGAAAGAAAGTCTGGTAAAGGCCATGATGTCAGAGACTGCCAAGTGTTCCCACAGAGAAAGGGGGAGAGAATCACATTGAATTCCGGAGTGTCTGGATGCCCAGAGAGATCTCCAGGGAAAAGAAAGGAGCAACAACTTTGTTTCCAAACTCTGAAGTCCAACCTTCAGGAATCCTGAATTTTCCAAGACATGCAATAGACACACTGCACACTGATTAACCCTCTGAGCCTTCCCAATACTCGCGCTTGAGTCACTTCTGGGACAAGAGTTACGTGCAGACAGGGAGCAGTCACATTCCTCCAGGGGCTGAGAAGGAGACCAGCTCCTGGAGGGGGGAGCTGGCTCACAGAGGATTCCAGTCCTGCCTTGATCTGGGAATTCATCTCTTAGGGGGTTCTAGCAGCCTCAGATACTGCCCCACCCCTGGAGGAACTGGAAGAGGTCTTCTAAAGTAGCTAAAAGCTCAGGGGGAAAGAGGCCCAAGACTACCCACAATTGGAAGTCCACCCGGACCTTGGAGGCAGCAAAGGACAAAGAAACAAACAGAAAATCATGGGGAAGGATACCAGAATGCACCCGAGGTGCTCCTGAAACCCAGACCTTCACTATTTCCCTAGCTTAGAAGGAAAGAGGAATTTCAGCTGCTTTTAGCTTATTTGACCTTCATGAAAGTAGCTCCTTTCCATCCCTCTGAGAGAGGGTCCTGGAGAAGCAGCTGTGGCCTGGCTGGCTTCCATCAGGCCTCCTACTTGAAGCCACAAGACAAGCACACTCCAATTCACAGTTTGCACTCTCCTCCCCTGACTCCCCTGTTCCTCCCCTATCACTGGCCTCAATGAACTTCCAAATCTCCAATGCCGAATTATGACCAGTGTGGCTCAAAGGGTTAATACACCAGGACTTCTCAGACAGTTAGATGCAAGCTCATTCACCAAGAGGAACTCCAGAATGGCTACACAGCAATCTAGTGTTTCTTGTAGCGATTCTTTGGGGTCTCGCCACACCCTGTTTTGTCACAGTTCAGAGCACCTGGATTTTTGCCTAGCCCAAGGCTGCCTAGGAGACCAGGGAGCTCATGGGTGATAGCCCGTTCAATCTTCTCCAGGAAGCAGCCTCCCATGTAGGAGCACTGCTGGGATAGCAGCTTAAAACTGGAGATAGGATTAATGCCAAAGAAGTCCTTATAGGCCTCGCGGTTGGGAAGGTCAAATTTACTGACATTGGTCTTCGCCAGGATGGTCTTGAAGATGTAGAACTTATCAGGATCTTCCACGATGTCCTTAAAGACCAGTTCTCCATCACTGAAGAAGGTCATCTTGTCCTTGTAAGTCTGTAAATAGCGGTCAACCAAGAGGGCATGGATGCGGACACGAATGGCGTGCTGGCGGATGAAGGCAATTTTGTTCTCCAACCTGTTCTCAATCACCTGATTCAGGTCTTCCAGAAGGGAGATCTCCTCTTTGAGAAACAGTTCCCTGTGAGTGTCGGGCTTGTACTCTTGTGGCCAGAAGGAGCTGACGTAGACCCTCGGGGGCTCTGTGACATTGATGAGGGGGGCAAGGCTCCAGAAGAGAGCCCCATAAACCCGCATAAGCATCTGTGTGGCCAGGTTGTCTGCCTTGTTCAGGATGATCCTTATCTGGGATTCTCGACCCTTCAGCTGGCGGAAGAGCATTTCCAGCTCCAGGCCCACATCCAGCTTGGTCGGGTCAAAGACGACAAAGATGAGGTCAGCTCTGTCGATGAACCACTGGCACACATCATTGAAGGGGTAACCTTTGGAAACAGGAATAAGAAGACAAGCTGAGTAAGCATCCCTCTGGACATTCCTATTAGGACCAGCCATTTCCCTGGGCCGAAAGACATAAAAGCTTTAGAGATTTTGTTGGGTTTCTAAAGATAAAATTGTAAAAAAAAATTTTTTTTAAAAGAAAATTGTGGTTCTCCAGTCCCTTGTCAACTTTCAGTCAAGAACAGCTTAATCTTTTTTCAGAGCTAAAATGGCGTTTCTGAAGAATATTGAATGTATCATGGACTTCCAAAAGAACAAATAAATGTGCCTTGGAAGAAATGCAGACAGAGTGTTCCTTAGGGGCAGGGTCCCCCATACTTTGTGCATGTTGTCACAAGGGGCTTATCCTTAAAGAAAGACATCATGCTGGAGGGGCAGACACTGAATGAGATGAATTGAAACGATGACTGCAACAGTGGACTTGGGCACAGCATAGACCGTTAGGATATAAACATCAGGCAAACTTGTGTTCTAGTGTATCATTATGAGTCATTATGAGTTGGAGTTGACTCTATGCTACCTAACACCACCATGGTAGAGTCCAAGACTCCAGGGAAGTAAGATTTTATTTTCTAAATGGAGAGTTTATTGTCTAAAAAGATCAAGAGCAGCTCTGAGCGAGGCCTCCCTCTGAGGTGAACGCAGGGGTCCGTGCAGCAGCCAAGTAGCTGCGACCGGCCTGCCATACTGCCTGAGCACCAGCCTAAAATCAAGTCTGGGCATCAAGACGGCTAACCAAGACCCCAGGGCACTGGCCTCCTCCAGCAATTGGTGGCTTCAGACACTGGAGTAACAGCCACTGCTCTCTGTATGACACTCATGGACATTGTGAAGTTGTGCTTACAGTCCCAGTACCCCTCGGGGGCCAGTCAACTGACACCTAACTGCTATACCCTTTTCAGCCTGCAGGGAAGTGACCCCAGTACTGCAGTGGAATCCTGAAGCTGGTATACAGTCCCCACTATGCCACCTTGTTTCAGGAACCCACCCACCTCACTGGCACCAGGGATACTTTTCTGAAGATTGTGAGGCGGCTTGAGGAGACCAGAACCCTGTGGAGTAGCTTCCCAGACTCTGGTAATGCCAGCCAGCCACAGCTATTTACTTCATGACCTATGACAAACTCAAGACCTTCCTGTGTGGTCGAACCTTGACTTCTGACTGCTATGCACCCTAGGTGGCTGGTGCTCAGGCCCGTCTGGGCACAGTGACCCTGATCAGCCCCCTGGTACTGGTGTGGATGAAGCTGCAGGCTCAGCATGTGTCATACCAGGAGTTGGGCACCTACATCCAGGCCACAGTAGCTCAGGGAGGCTGGCGCTCTCTGTGGCTGGAATGGGGGCCCACTGCCCTTCTAGATGTGCCCCTCTCAACTCTGGACTGGTTCAACTATGAGCTGGTGAAGAGCTGGCTGAGTGGATCCGGGCCAAGGACCAGTCTTCTGTGGGCATCACCTTCATGGTTGGCAGTATCCTGACTTTGCCCTTTGACATGGTGAAGATTCAGCACAGGTCCAGCTGGGAGGGATGAAGGCCATGAGAGGGAGGCCCCCATGTGTGGACTGTACCCGGCTGCTGCTGCAGAAGATCTGGGCTGAGTGGGGGACCAAGGGACTCTGTGCTGGCTTCCTTCATTAAGTCTGCCCCCTTCTGTGCCATCATGATCATGCACTTATGAGTTTGGTAAAAGATTTTTTCAGAAACTCAACCAGGAGCAGCTGTAGGCTCTTGAAAGGGGCCAGAGGTTGAGGACCCCCATCCTATCTACTTGGATGGGGTTCAGACAGGAGACTGAACCAAATGCCTTCTCATCAGCTCAAGGGGTGGGCTTATCCCTCCCTTCCCCTCTCTGGGCCCTCAAGGCATCCCTCAGACATGCCTTCTTCCTGTTTCTCCCCATTCCTGAGGCTCAAGGATCAGCACTTTCCCACCTACCAAGGCAGAGACCAGATCTGCTATCCACCCTACACTCTCATTTCCCCAAGGAACCAACACCTGGGCTGGGCCTGCTTCAGTCTCCCCACCTCCATTAATTCCTTACATCCTGAAAAAAAATTAAAAAAAAAAATATCAAGAGTAATGGCAGAGATGTTGAAGGAAAGAAATCCAGAAAGTAGAAGAAAGTGGGGGGAGAAAAGAATATGTTATTAATGGGGGGGTGGGGAAATGGAGACAGACATCAAAACCTAGATAGGAATTCGGGCTTCACCCTGGCTAGCTGCTAACTGCAACTATTTCACAGTCAAGTATACCTATACCGGTAAAGTACTGGTCAAGTGCACTGGGAAGTCCAGACTCATGATCACTAAGGACCAAAGAATCTTCCCTAAAAGCTTCCTAAACCTGTTGAGTCAGGCATGAGAAATCAAGAACTAGGGGCAGGAAGAGTCCCAGCCCCCAATTACCTAGCAGGCACGTACACCTATATTGGGTAAGGCCTGGCCTTTGATGACTTAGGACCAAAGTGGCAACCTGACCTCAGCTTGGACCTTTAGGAATTTAGATCTCTTGATGAGACCAGCCCTACTCTTGGGAAAACACTGATCGTCTCCAAGCCAAACCCATTCACGGGGAGGCAAGAGGACGATGTCTTCCCAAACCTAAGTGGCAGCACAATAACAAGGAGGAGTGAGAACACGCATCTCCAGGCCCTAGAGAACAATGGCTGTTTCCCCTCCATGTCTTTCAGGTGAAGTCCTGCCCTGGGTTGATCTGCGGCGAGAGATCTCTTTAAAGTGTCAAAACCCACATTTTCCTCCCTTTCCCTCCCCCAACCACTTTGCCATGCACCCCTTGTTCCAGGTTGTCATACATATAATGTCTAATCTATTCCTTTCAGACAGTTCTTCCCCTCATCTGTTGCAATGCAGTGTTCATTATCCATCCACCTTTTTTTCCTATTAAGATGTCACATTGAAGACCAAGTACCTGACCTCTGCCATAGTATTTTCTGTTACCTCATACACATATAAAAGCTGGCCAGTGCATCAGAAAGACAAAAGAAAAATTAATGCCTTCAAATTATGATGTTGGTGCACACCCATGTTTATTGCAGTTCTGTTCACAATAGCAAGGAGTTGGAAACAACCTAAGTGCCCATCAACAAACAAATGGATAGAGAAGCTGTGGTGTATTCACACAATGCTGCATTGAAAAACAAGGAACTCATGCAATATTATTCAAAATGGTTAACTCTGGAGAACATTATGCTGAACGAAATATCCCAGTCACAAAAGGACAAATATTGCATGGTGCCACTGTTGTAAAAGAGGACTGACCTTGGGGTTGGGGAGAGACTGAGTAAGATGGGTTCAATAATGTATACTGCACTGAAACAGAGGAGGGAGAAAACTATTTAAAAGAGATATGTGATTAGGTATTCCTGTCATGACTGGAGTCTAGAGCGATGGCTACATGGTGGAGTGGATCTGGGGGAGGGTTTGTAAAACAATGAAAGAATTTTTCTTTTACTTTTCCAAGAGGGTAGTGTTCTGGTGGGGAGGCTTGGGAGGGGAGAAAAGTGCAACAATGAATGAATGGAAATCCAAAGCCTCTGTAAATTTTTACTGAAATCAATAGTAAATCTAAATTTAAAGAAAATTAAGTTAGAGTAAGGATGGCAATGGATTTATAACTGCTCATGCTAATAACACTATATCATGGCATGGAGGAGGAATAGTGGAACTGTATACTCATTTACAATATTCTTCTTACCCAAACCATTTATGGAAAATAGGAACTGCATTGGAACATGTATCTCTGGATTGGAAATGATCATACTGTTAATATTTCTAGCCTTAAGCTTAAAAGATTATAATGTTCAAAATTATTTGTTATATATTTGTTTAAATTTTTCCCTCTTTTAACAACTGGGATCTAGAGGGAAAAGACCAGAGAATGGCCAAAATTATTAGGGCAGCTATTACTGCCAGTTTAGGACCTGTGTCAGGAAAAGGAAGTCTTACTCATAAACAGTGCCACCCAAAGGTAATAAAGGAGGTCAGAATTGCTTCCACTGTGGAAAGCTGGGCCACTTCAGTAAACAGTGTCACAGACGAGAGCCACAGAAAGGTAAAGGAGTTGAGAGGAAGCTCCCATTCACTTACTTTAAGTGGGTGTCCTACCTGGGAAAGTAAAGGGTGAGCAGAGAAGAGGGAGACGCTCATGAGACATACGGACTGATGGAGTGAGTGGCTGCAGAAAGGGGCTGAGGCCCAGCAGAGACTGTGGATGGTGTAGGACCAGGCAGGCTTTCCCTCCATTGTGCACAGGGTCCCTGTGCTCCAGTGCAGTAACAGCAATTCTGCCGACCACCCACCATCAAAAATATTCTTTATGGCAAAGCTCATGCTGTTCAGAAATGAATGCTAAGTTACCTCTTTCTTGCTGCTTGCGGTTCTCAATGATGCCTGGTGTATCCACAAAAGTGACCCGCTCCAGAAGTTTGTGGGGGACCTCAATACCAATCAGCTTCTCCAGAAAGTTCTGACCAAACTTCTCAAGGGGTGAAAAGGACCGTGCACTGTCAGCAGCCATCACAATGCCCTCAATAGTCTTGAGCTTGGGCCCGTGCATCAGGACTGTGAACTCGGAGGTGGTGGGCTCAGCACCTGTATATGAAGGGATGAGCTTTAGTCAGGAAAAAAACACTCTCAGGGCAGAAATCCAGGGAGCATGTACACAAAGAAGGTGTTTCCAGGAGTGACTCACCACAGAACAGGAACATCTATAAGAAATCCTAGCACAACCTTAACACCTTCTGTGCTAAGGTGCTAGTTTCGTACATATACTTCTTGTTCTTCTATTAAGTACTTCTATACAAGTTTTAATTTTTCATGAGACTTCCACACAGAACACCTGAATGCCAACAGCCTGACAAGTAAACCACCTGTTACCTGTGTAGAGCTGGTAGCGAGTATCTTCCAGCCCAAGGAGGTAGTTTATCATAGTTGATTTTCCGACACTCCACGGGCCGATGAAGAGCACCATGGGCTTGGATGTAATCTCCCCATCTGTGTGTAAAGGAATTAGAGATGTCAACAGGTGTGCAGCACTTCTTTTTTTTTTTTAAGCACTTCTTATATAGGAGTGGGAGATGTGTTTACAGTAACTCCCTGTGATCCCAGTGGGCTGTCATTCTATGTCAGATCTGACAGTGTGGGGCCTTCAATTGTGCTGGTTTTGCTACATAAGGATGACCACCAAGTTAAACAACAGAAAGTGGAATGCTGGCCTGAGAGAATTCAGCAGACTCTGCCTCGTTTATACTTAACAGAAACTAGATCAAAGGCAAAGGCAGAGCCTCAACATGGACAAAATGGGAAAATGCTGCTCTTTCAACTGGTAATGGAGAACCCACCAAACTGACTCTGATTCTTAGCAGCCCTTTCTGATAGAGCAGACTATCCCACAGGGTTGGCTTCTGAGGCTGTTCCAGAAGCCAACTGCCTCATCTTTCTCCTAAAGAATTGCTGGTGGATCCAAACCATTGACCTTGCAGTTAGCAACCCAACAATCAGTACCAAGCCAGTACCAAGGCTCCTTGCTAACAGATAAGGAGAGTGGGGAAGAAGCGGAGCAGATCATGATGGATCTGAACATCAAGCCCTGCTGTTCTCACCCTCCACAGCTTGCTCCCTTTTCCTCCATCTCTGTAACCCTGAGCCAGTCTCAAATGTTAGCTTCCACAGCCCATAATCAACTGACCAGTATCCAAGAGCAAACACTGAAGTGTCAATTCTTAGCCCAAATGCTAGTGTACAAAGCTCTAGTGGTGCAGTGGTTAGTGTGCTCCGTGGTTAATTGAAAGGTCAACAGCCACAATACGGCAGTCAGGTTCAATAACTTACAGTCTTAGGAACTTTGTGGGACACTCCTACTCTGTCCTACAGGTTCAAAGTGAATGGGATTGGATTCTATGGCAGTGGGTTTTAGGATTAAAATAAATCTGGTTTTTAGAAACCAAGATTGTGTCTATAAATGGGGAGCACCTATGTGTTGCCTGAAAATGAGCATATCTGGCCTCATCTTATCATAAATTAGTGAGATGTTCACAGCTGTCTGGGTGTCTAAAGGGCAAGAAGGGGGCTGGCAGGTGAAGGGGGAGCCACTAGGATTCGATCACCTCTTAAACATGCCTAAGGTTGATCTCACCATAATTTAAAATCATCTCAATTATAAGTTTGAGTCACTAAACACTAAAGATCAAAGACCAGGTAAGCTGTGGGATGACATCAAGGAAAGATCATCCAAGAAGATTGTAATGATGGGAAGAAAGAAAAGACTAAAACAGACATCAGAAAAGGCTCTGAAAATTTCCCTAGAACATCAACAAACCAAAACAAAGGGGAAAATGGTGAAGTGAAAGAGTTAAACAGAAGATTTCAAAGAGCAGCATGAGAAGAATGAAATGTGCAAAGACTCGGGAGTTAGAGAACCATAAGGGAAGAACATGCGCAGCATTTCTCCAGTTGAAAAACTGCAGAAGAAACCCAAACCTTGAGTTGTAATAACCATTTCAGGAAATGGCATATGATCAAGAACCAATGGTGGTTAGAAGAGAAGTTCAAGCTGCACTAAAGGCATTGGCAAAAAAAAAATATATATAAGGCACCAGGAATTTATGGGATACCAACTGAGGTGTTTTAGAAAAGAGATGCAGCCCTGGATGTGCTCACCAGTCTAACTCAAAACAACTATCTGGTCAGCTGACTGGAAGAAATCCGTATTTGTTCCAATTTCCATGAAAGGTGATCCAGTAGACTATGAAAATCACTGAACAATATCATTAATATCTTACGGAGGTAAAATCTTGTGGAATATGATTTTTTTTTAAATGGCTGGAATGGTACATTGACAGAGAACCACCAGAAATTCAAGCTGAGTTTATAAAAGGCACCAGGGATATGACTACTGATGGATCTTGGCTGAAAGCGGAGGATATCTAAAGAATGTGTTTTCTTGACTATGCAATGGCTTTTGACTGTGTAGATCATAACAAATATGGCTAACATTGAGAAGAATGGGAATCCTAGAACACTCAAATGTTCTCATTTGAAATCTATACCTAAACCAAAAAGCTGGTGCATAAACAGAGCAAAGGCACACTTCACAGTTTACAATCAAGAAATGTCTGTATGCATCAGGGCTAGGTCTTTTCTCCCTATCTATTCAGTCTGTATACTGAGCAGTTCATTCAGGAGGCTGGACTTTATGAGAAAGAATATGGCGTCAGGATTAGAGGAAGGCTCCTCAAGGACCTGAAGTATGTAGATGACACAACCTTGCTTGATCAAAGCAAGGAAAACTTGAAACTTGTGGCAAAGATAAAAGACTTCAATATGGATTCCATCTCAACATAAAAAATAAAAATCCTCATCACAGGGCCTGTTGGCAACATCATAATAGATGGAGAAGACTGAATTTGTCAACAATTTCATCTTACTTGAATCCATAATCAACATTCTTTGTATCAGCAGTTAAGAAGTCAAAAGATAAGGGAGCTCTGGTGGCCTAGTAGCAAGACACTGCACTGCAATCCCAGAGATATGCGGTTCAAATCCACCAGATCCTCTGCTGGAGAAGGAGGGGGCAATCTCCTCCTGTACCATCAGATCAGATCTGATTTGATGGTACATGTAAAAAATAAATAAATAAAAGAAATCAAAAGATGTGTTTTGCAATGGGGAAATCTGCTGTCAGGGACCTCTCCAAGAAGCTCAGGAGCAACAATGTCAGATTAAAGATTAAGGTCCACCTGATTCAAGTGATGATCTTTTTCAGTCACTTCCTACGCATATGAAATTTGGACAATGACTAAGAATGCCAGAAGAATTGGTGCCTGGTGCCTTTCAGTTGTGCTGTTGGTGAAGAGTGCTGAATATCCCTTGGACTGAAAAAAAAAAAAACAACACAAAAAACAAACACCCAAAATCAAACAAACAAAAAAGCAACAAATATGTCTTGTGGAAAGTATACCCAGGATGCTTCTTAGAGGCAAGGATAATGATGCTTCGTCTCACATACAGTAGACAAGTTGTTAGAAGGGGCTCATCCTTGGAAGAAGACATCATGCTTGGAAAAGAGGGTTAGTGAAGGAGAGAAAGATCCTCAATAAGATGGATCAACATAATGACTGGAGCAATGAGCTCAAGTTTAACAGGGATAATTAGGACAGCACAGGATAGGGCGAGGTTCAGATCTGTTGTTCATAGACTCACTATGAGTTAAAATGGATTCTAAAGCACCTGTAAACAAGAACAAAATGCTAAGGGGGACACAGGTGACCTAGAAGGACGGCTTTTCAGGTGCTGTAGAATTTGCTTTTTTTTGTTTTTCTCTTACAACTTTTTATGATGATGTAGGTGAATGTTTTACAGAACAAACGGTTTCCATATAACAGCTTGTACACATTGTTTTGTGTGATCACCACAGCTTTCTTCCCACTTTCTCTCTAGGTTTCCCATTTCTGTTTATTCTTCTGTCCCACTTCTTTCCACACTTTTGATCTTGTATGATTGACAGTTCTAAGTGTGTTCTTCTCTGATGTTATTGACCCCCTCATGAATGCCTCTGAACTGTGGTCCTGGAGAAGAGTTCTATATATCCTATGGACACCCAAAGAACAAGCAAGTAGAGAGGCAAGGATGGTGAAACTTGGTCTCACTCACTTTGGGCATACTTTCAGGAGGAAATAGTTCATTCTGAGAAAGGCAGAGGTTTGGCAAAAGAGGGTAAGCTCCTTCATGAGACACTGTGACTACGTAACGGGTTTGAGCAGGACAGAGATCATGAGCACAGGACAGGACAAGGTTCAGATCCGTTCTTCACAGGATGACTAAGAGTTATAGTCTACTTGATGGCACCAAACAGCAAGCACCACCACAGGCTTATGTAGTTTTTGGCCAAGTGTATATCATGGTGAGTTACTATCCAAACGCCTGGGATTCTAACCTACCAGCCACCACACACGAGAAAGAGCATCTTCCCTCTCCCCCAAAGGTTTACAGCCCCGGAAACTCAATGGAGAATAATTGAGAGTTGGGGCTAACTTGGTGCAGGGACTGGGTTCTGCTGAATCACAGGTGATTTATGCTCCAGCCTTTCAGTGAAGGGTGCTGCTGTTTCTGTGCTCTGCAGCAGGGGGCATCACCGGCGCAGGATGAGACAATGGGGACAACCTTAGGGAGTTACTGCCTAACTCTCCAGAGCCCCGAAAGATTGGAAGAGGCAAGTCCAGACTGTGTGAGTGGTATGGGAAATCAGGAAATCGGCACACACTCCAGTGCAGGCTGGAGCCCTGCCCCCTGCTGCTGTCAAGTCCACAGCTTCCACTGAGGCCAAGAGCTGGGAGAGAAGTATGGAGGGTTAGGGTTATAAAGGAAAAGAGCAGAGACTGTCACTTCACACCAATGCCTCCACATCCTTGATGAGGCAGGAAAAGAGAATGAGTCTTGGCTTGTTGGAAACACAATGTGTAGTTGTGAAAACAGAGTGTACTCTCAAAGAAATGTGTAATCCTGCATAACCCACAAGTTCTCAGTAAAGCAGTAATGAGAAATACATTTGTAATCTAAAGTGCTCAGGTAATTTAATCAGTAGGGAGTCGCACAACTAACCCAAATGTCATGCCTCTCAGTTCATTCCAGTCCACCAGCCACTCCTCATAAAAAAGACGGGAAATCCACCTTTGTGTGATTTACAGCCTCAGAAACCCACTGGGCAGTTATGAATTGGCTCTGACTCAAAGCAGTGAGAGAGAAGATAGCCTCTCTAAGGAGCTCTGGGCAATGCAGGGTTGGCAGGTTGAAAGGGAGCCACTAAAACATGCTGCATTGGGAAACTCTGTTATCAAGGACCTCTCCAAAGTGCTAAAAAGTAATGAAGTCCGTTTTAAAGACTGAGGTGTGCCAGATCTAAGCCTTGGTGTTTTAAATTGCTTCGTATACATCCAAAAGTTCATTGAACAATGAATAAAAATGACAGAACAAGAAGGCAAAGATGAGATACAAGGATTGTGAAATTCTGTCTCACACACTTTGGGCATGTTGTCAGGAGGGACTAGTCCTTGGGAAAGGTCATCATGCTGGGAAAGTTGTAAGGTTAGAGAAAGGACGATGCTTAACAAAATGGACTGACACAGTGACTGTAACAACGGGCTTGAGCAGCTTAGATGTGAGGCTGGGGAGGCTAGGGTAAGGGTTAGATCTATTGTTCATAAGGTCGCTAGGAGTTGTAGTTGACTTGATGACAACTAATAACAAGGAGCTCTAGGAGCATGGTGTGTTATGAGTTACACTGCTGAGCGAAAGGTCAGTGGTTCAAATCTAATAGCCGTTCCTTGGAAGGAATAGGGGCAGTCTCCTGTAAAGATGTGCAGCCTTGGAAATGCAATGGTAGATTGCCTAAGTCAGAATGGAAGCAACAACAGTGGGTGGATACCCTATTCAAGAAATCCAGGGACAAAATAATGAAGCACTGATCATTAATCTCAAGGTTAGCAGTTCAAATCTACCACCTACAGAGAAAGACAAGTTCACTACCATGCAGATTTACAGCCCTGGAAATGCTGTAAGGCAATTCCACTCCACTCCAGGGTCAGGGTGGTCAGCATCGGCTTTCAGGAATGCACTGTATTTCTCAGAATGTTCTATTCTAACCTTTATCAGTGTAGCTGGGTTTTTAAAATTTTTTTTTTATAATAAAAATACTTTTCTGGGACACGGCATCCAGCTATGCCACAATTGACTACCTCCAAGATCCTCTGCAAACCAGTCTGAACACCTACAGTCACGTGATGACAGGTCTAAATCTCTGGGAGACCTTCCAGCGAACCACCAAACCCAAGAGACATAGAGGATCTGGGGAACTGAACAAAGGAGGGGCTGTTGATGTCTGAAATCATGGGCTTACACAGTAAATCATGCCTTTGAGACAATGTTGACTTGGCATTTCTTAGAACTGGTCTGCTATTAATCTTAGCAGAACGAATTCTAAAACATTTATCTAAGGAGCCTTACAACGGTTATGTGCTCAGCTGCAGATTAAGAAGTTGGCATTTTGAACCTAGAAGCTCTGTGAGATAAAGACTTGGCAATCTGTTTCCATTAAGATTAAACCCCAAAACAAATCCATTGTTGTCAAGTCAGTTCTGTTTCTTGGGGACACTCCACTAGGTTTCCCATGCTGTAAACCTCTAGGAGAGGAGACAGCCTCATCTTTTTTACTTCCTGCAAAGGAGCTGGTGGATTCAAACAGTCAACCTTTTGGTCAGAAGCACAGCATTTGATGCACTACGTTGTCAGGGCTCCTTTCCTATTAAGACTACTGCCTGTGTTTTCATTCTCTCGGCACCACCATGGTGGTCGGCAAGAACAAGCGCCTTACAAAAGGTGACAAAAAGGAGCCAAGACGAAAGTGGTTGATCCATTTTCTAAGAAAGATTGGTATGATGTAAAGGCACCAGCAATGTTCAATATAAGAAATATTGGGAAGACATTAGTCACAAGGACTCAAGGAACCAAAATTGCATCTGATGGACTCAAGGGTCGTGTTTTTTAAGTGAACCTTGCTGATTTGCAAAATGATGAAGTTGTGTTTAGAAAATTCAAGCTGATTATTGAGGATCAAGTAAAAACTTTTTTGTTCAAGGCAAAACTGTCTCACCAACTTCCATGGCATGGATCATACCCGAGACAAAATGTGCTCCCTGGTCAAAAAATGGCAGACCATGATTGAAGCGCATGTTGATGTCAAAACTACCAATGGTTATTTACTTTGCCTATTTTGTGTTGGTTTTACCAAAAAACAAACAAACAAACAAAAAACAACAAAACACAACAATCAGATTCGGAAGGCATCTTATGTTCAGTACCAACAGGTCCGCCAAATCCGGAAGAAAATGATGGAAATCATGACCCAAGAGGTGCAGACTAATAACTTGAAAGAGGTGGTCAATAAATTGATTCCAGACAGCATTGGGAAAGACGTAGGAAAGGCTTGCCAGTCTATTTATCCTCTCCATGATGTGTTTGTTAGGAAAGTAAAAAGGCTCAAGAAGCCCAAGTTTGAATTGGGCAAACTGGGAGCTCTGGAAAAGCTACTGGAGATGAGACAGGTGCTAAAGTTGAACGAGCTATGAGCCACCAGTTCAAGAATCTGTTTAAAATTTAGAGAACTCTGGTGGCCTAGTGGCAAGAAGCTGCACTGCAATCCCAGATGTGCCTGGTTCTAATCCACCAGATGCTTTGCTGGAGAAGGAAGGACAATCTCCTCCTGTATCAGGCAGATCTGATTTGATGGTACAAAAAATAATATTATTTTTAAAAAATTTAAAAAAATCTGTTTAAAGTTCAGACTTTTAATAATGGCAAACGAAAATTATTATTTGTTAAAAAAAAAAAGACTACTGCCTGTGACACCCTGAGGGCAGCAGTTCTACCTTCACATGGCACTACACATTGGAACTGACTTGCACCAACACGCACACACAGTTTGTATTCAATGTCTGTGTGAGTTTTAAAAACAACAAAAGATATTTTAGATGCTTTTATATGACAAGGAAATGTCTGGAAACATTCTCAGGAAGCTCAGTGGTTTCTTTGGGGGCAGAATTAGAGAAGACTTAGGTCAAAACACATTTTCCTTTTCGATATATATTCTGAGATATCATTGGATATTTTTTACCTTTTTTATCAACTGTTTAGTTATTTTAAAAAATAAATACTTAAAAGAATCCAGACCCAAGAAAGGGAATCACAGCAGGAAGAGGAAGACAAGGAAGGGCCAATCAGAGAATACACAATGCTGAAGTGAGCAAGGAATCAACATCTCCACCACTGGAGCAGAACTGCTGAAATATGAAATAACCAGTTGTCAATGAGCTGATTCCTACTCATAGTGAGCCTGGAGGACAGAGAAGAGTTGAAATGCTACCTATAAAACTCCTTTATAAGGACAGCAAGGCCAATGAAGACAATGTCTATTCTGATGAGTTGTTGTTGTTATGCAGTATCGTCAAGTTGAGTACATACAGCTCATTGCAACCCTGTGAACAACAGACCTGAACCCTGTCCTGTCCTATGCCATCCTCATACTTCCTGGCACACTAGAGCCCGCTGCGGTGGTCACTGTTGTCAATCTTCACTTTAGTGAATAGTAAATGGGATGATTTGGTGTTCTTTTAAATTTATGAGCAGTTTTAATCTTTGGTGCAATTACTGGTCTCTTTATGTCCAAAACAATGAAATGGAAAGAAAATTATAGATGTATAGAAACAATTAATTCAGTGCACTAATGGACTACCCCAACCTCCATCAACCTCAGGCAAGAACTCGCATCACTGCCACTGACTGTCCAACAGGGATCTCAGTGAAGATCCTGGATAGAGTGGGTGAAAAACAGGACACAAAATATAAAACCAGCCTGGTTTACTGGTCCAATGGGGAGTTGCAGACTAGTGATTAGTCACCTTTCAAATCTAGACAAAGCTCACTCCCGAGATTCAACTTCCAGCCAAAGAATAGACAGGCCTGAGAGAGGCAAGTAACACCAGGGAGGCATTCACTCCTTGGAACAGTCAGCCATACAAGATCAAAATGAGGGCATTTGCCTGAAGACAGAACTTAGAAGGCAGGAAGAGGTAGGATAGAAGGCTTAACGGAAACAAGAATTACAGGTAGGAAATGGGGAGAGTGTGATTACATTGCAATATAATAAATGTAAGTAAAATGTATATAAATGGTAAAATGGAAAATAAATTTGTAAACTTTCATGCAAATCATAGTTTTTAAAAAGAAAATTTTTTTAATTTTTTTTTTAGAAAACCCTTTGTAAATTACAGTCTAGGAAGAAAAGCCTGACAACGTACTTTGGAAAACTAACAAATCCCGCAGATCCCCATGGTCAGATCCCTGGGTCAGATTCTGGGAGTCAGATTCCCAGAGTCTGATCCCTGTGGTCAGATCCCCATGGTCTGATCCCTGTGATCCATCTGCAGTTGACTGTGGGGCTGAGGCAAGGCAGGACCATGCTGTGTCCAGATGGGCCTGGGCTTGGCAACAGCTGAAGCCAACCTGCTGGCAGCTACAAACAGCTCCCATGAGGGGAGGGCTAGTGCTCCTGAGTGTGTGTGTGTTCCTTCCACACCTCCTCATAGTGGGAGTGTGTGCTGGAGGGATACAGACCGTGCTGGTGGGTGGAGGGGCTCTGGCTCAGACCTCCCTTCATGGATAGCCCCATCTCTGGGCTCGCAGGCTGTACCTGTGATCTCATGCTGCCGGAGCTCATTGTACTTGTAAGACTGTTCAAGGGGCTTGATGGATGAATGGTAGATTTTCCGAAGCCGCTGCAGCACCGCTAGGGGCAGAGAAGTGAGAAATGAGAGCATGAAGATGGGCAGGTGGTACCCAGTGCCATGAACAGACTCGACCTGATAGGACAAGGGTTTTCTCCAGGCAGCAACCATGTCTGAATGTTCCTGCAGGGAGCTGATCTACAGCTGGAACTTCAGAGATCTTTCCACCAAACGTGTTCTGAACCTCCCTGCCCTTTGGAGCTGCCTCAGTTTTCCCTCACGTGACTACCTCTTCTTCCTCTCCACCTGAATGCTGTGGGCAGTGTCCCAAAAGCCCTTCCATCTCTTTCCTCTCTACCCCACCTTCCTTGTGCTAGTCTGAAGCCTAGAAGACTGAGAGTTAGGACACCCGGAAGGTGCACACAGCAATCCCAAGCCCCTGACAGCACTGCATCCTGAGTGCTCCTAGGAGAACTCAGAGACCACAAGCTCTTGGTCCTTCTGCCAAAGCACGGCTCTGTGGGAAAGCTCAAACCCAGCTCTTCAACTTTCAGAGCAAGTGCGGTGCCTGCAGTGAGGCTACAGGACAGAGGGGAAGGGCTGAGGCTGAGGGGCAGGCCAGCTGGATTCTGCCCTCGCTCAGCCACCATCCAGGGTGGAGGAGCATGCCACTGGCCTGCCCTGAGCTTCCAGCAGCTCACCAGTGAGGGCCTACCACAGCCCTGCTGCAGTCCCTGAGTACAAACCAGAAAGAAATGAGATTCCAGAAAGGAAAGGCCTAATAAACTGCTGAAACCAAAAACGTGTTGAGAGGGTTCCATAAGAGTAAAAGAATCCACAAATATGTGAGAGTCTTAATAGCAGGCTTCTCTTGCTGTGACAGGCTGCAAGTGGTCCCCTGGTGGCACCCTGGGTCCACCCCCATACTTGCTTGGCCACCCCGACTCTGGCAGGCCAGAGCTCCAGCTCAAGCTCCACTCAGCTCTCCTCCATAAGGCCCCCAGCCCCACTGCTCCTCTGGGGTGTGGTTCCTCTACTTCCAAACTCAGCCCACACCACCCTGGCTTTCTCAGCCCTGCCAAGCAGCCAGTCCTACGGCTGTGACGGACCACCTCAGCCCCAGCTGTGGCTCTCCCCACTTACCCGAGTAGTCATCAGCTGGCTTGTCCTCATTCAGCATCAGCGTTTTCTCGATGTGGGAACGGTCCCGCAGTGGTGCTTCTTCACTCACATCCTCCGTCTCTTCTGGGAAGAGAAGTACAGAGGAATGTCAGGTGTGAACCATCTGGATGCTAAGGACCTGCAGATGGATTAGGGCCAAACCTGGAGGAGGCGCTTCATAAAGCCTTGCCAAAGAGAAGTGAAAAGTGTTCTATGGGACAGTAGTTTTAGCTCATAGAAGATGAATGGAAGCAAGAATCACAAGGAAGGAAATGGAAGCATGCTGTTGCAATGTGGGGACTCTAGACGAGGCTATAAAACAAAATCTGTGTGAATGACTGAATGGCATGCCAAATGCTCCGTAAACTTTTCCTCAAAGCACAATAAAATGTTCGCCAAAAAGTAAATCCAAATTCAGCATCTGGTAAGCTCCATGATCCATTGTACTTATTTGGCAAATATGCATGTTCTGAGCACCTACTGCATACTAATAGGCATCAAGCAACATGCTGGGGATACAATGGTGTACAAAACTGCTTCTAACGCTTGTGTGGGTTCTGACAGTTTAATGGGGAGAGATGATAAATAACCTTAAGGAAATGTCATAATTACAAACTGTGATATGGGCTATGAAAGGTAAAACTCAAGAAACTTTGAGGTTACTGAACATTTTGATCAAAGACTATAGTAGAATTTTCTCAGTAGGGGGGAAATGCAGAAAAGAATTTAAAATTCTTATAGAATCCAGACTTTCTGGAGCCACTGACACTGCCTGAACTCCCAAAGTAAGCTTTGAACTGGAAGAGGGATCCAAACCGTTGCCCTGAGATCATCCTTAAACCATCAACAAAAATACATACCTCAGTCTTCTTTAAACCATAGTTTAGCATAGTTAGAAAACAATGTCTGCCTTGAGCACTGTGCTCTAATTGGAAAAACAAAAAACCTATAGAGAGGGTCAAATTGACAACAGTAACTCAAAAGATTAGATGGGAAACTAAGGGGGAAGTGAATACATGTTAACTGGAGAACAGTAATTCAGAAAAGGGGAGTGAGAATAGCTGCACACTGTAAAGAACATAACGATGTCCCTCAATTGTACAGGTTCAGTGATAGTACAACTGTCTGGGAACCCATTCCCACCCCCATCGGGAATTAGTGAGAGGCAGAAAGGAGGCTCAGACACTGAGCACCTGGGACTAGGGGGAGAGAGCACCTGGCAGGAGCTGGGTCAGTGAGTGCTGCCTTGGTGCAATGAGTCAAGAGGAGCTGACATGACTGTTGTGTCTGAGGATTCCCTGGGGTGGGAGCAGAGGACAACTACGGCTGTAAGGAGTGTCCTGTTGGACCTGACTGCCGCATTGGATTAGCTGGAGATGCGGGTGATGACCAGCAGCCTCCTAAGACGGAGACACTCCCAATTCTGGGCCTCTAACTGCAATCGTCTCCACCTGGGCTGACGGCACAAAGACTTTAAGGTGGTGGGAAAGTTACAGGCTTAGGTTCGTCAGTCACAGGGAGACGGTGGGAAATGTTGCACTAGGGGTGGAAACAGAGCACCTTAGGCAGCACCAAAGCTTGAGTGTTTACTTGATCAAAGCCAAGCAGCATGCTATACACACACACACACACAAGGAGACAAAAAGTGGACAGAGAGAAAAGGGCAAGGAAGAATGTGCACGGAGGGGGCAGATGCCCTTTCCTGTATGGAGTGTAAGTGCCCAACAAGCAGTGTTGTGCTGTCGACTGGATTCTTAAAACCTATGAGACAGACAATGCATGTAGATCTGAGTAGACAGCAATCTTTATGGGCAATTTGCCATAGATTTCTTCCACTAAAGTGACTGGTAGGTTCAAACTGCTGACCTTTCTGTTACCGACACAATGCTTTACCCACTGTGTCACCATAGCTCCTTCTCAACCTGTAAAGTAAATTCCTATTGGTGAAGCATCCTAGAAAGGTGCTGGTGGACCCTGAGCTCTCTGGTATGAAAACTGGCCCTGACCCTCCCTGGGACCCAATAACTCTGCAGTACTGAAAACAGTTGTGGCCTCGAGCGTCCCACTCTGCTAGCCCAGAGGTTGCTGCCTCTGCAGTGGGGCATCTCTGTGCACCAGTGGTCACAGCAAGCCAGTGCCTGCACCACAGTCGTGGCTGCAGGTCCCAGCCCTCCTCTCCGTCTGCCAGGAGTCTTGGTGTTCACCCAGGGACCTCCCAAGAGCCCTCCTCCAGACTCTTCCATGCTGCCCCTCTCCCAGAGGCTGATGGCACTGATCTATGTCAGAGTGCAGTCAGGGGCCAAGCCCAGAACAGCCTCCAAACGTAGGAAGTACAAAGGGACTAGCAGGCAGCACAAAGAACCTTCCTGGGTCCTCACAGGGCCTCCTTGGGTCCTCACAAGGCCTCCGTGTAACTATACACTCATTCTGACCTCCCCTCTGCCCACAAGACTTCCTGGTGGATCGCTAGGGCTGTTTCTAACGAATGCCCACATCAAGTGCGAGAGCAAGTGTGCGAGTCCCCTACCCTGCTGCCCCTCTTTGAGGTCCTCTGCCTCAGTGTCTTCCGTCTCAATGCCTTTGGGCTTTGTACTCAATTCCTCCATACTTGGCTGGGGCCCTTCCTCGCCAAAGCTTGCACTTTCTGCTGCTTCTTGGGGCCCCTCTACTTCCTCTGACCCAGCAGCCCTTGTTTCTTCTGAACTTGCTCTACTGCCACTATTCTCTTCAGATTCTGTGGATGGCGCTCCTTCCTCGTCTCCACCATTATCACCGCCCTCTTCTTCAGATGAGGCTTCCTTATGTTCCTGCATGGCTGACCCGTCAGGGAGGTGGTCTTCCTTGGTCTGCCCTGCCTCAGAGCTCTGTGCTCCCCCAGACTCTGTGCTGGCCTCTTGGTTGGGACTGCGCTCCCCCTGGTACCCAGATCCCACTCTGGCTTCGGAGACAGACTCGGCATCTGTCAGTTCTTCCATGGATTGGACCTCTGGTACTCCACTCAACTCTTCTGATTCAAGGCCTGGTATTTCCAATTCTTGACACAGCACTTTTGGCTCCTGGCTCAGAACTTCCAGTTCCTGACCAGGTACTTCTAGCTCCTGGTCTAGCACTTCTGACTCTTGGTCAGACGCCTTCATCTCCTGAGTAGGCACCAGTTCGCCCTCGCCCCTGGTCTCCAAAGAATGGGCTTCTTCCACTTTCCCACCACTAGGGGCCTCCTGAGCTTCCTTGGAGCCTGCTGCTTCCCCACAGGCCTCTTCCTCTGTGGGGAGCCCACGCCCAGCCATCTCCTCTCCTGGACCAAGCTCCAACTGCCTCTCTTCCACAGTGCCGTCTTCTTTTCCTTCTGCTCTCAGTGAGCCCTTGTCTTCCCCTCTAGATCCAGCAGGTTCCCCAGGTGGAGCAGATCCCATGGCCGAGGCATTAGAGGGGTTGGTTTCGAGGTCGAGGTGAGCAGGCTTCTCTGATGGAGTTGTTTCTGGGTCCTCCACCTCACTGGCATCTGGGAAATGGTGGAGCAGGGTCTTCTCTGTGGGGACCACCTCTGCGTAAGACAGCCTCTCCTTCTCCTCTAGACTTGCATCGCCAGCAGGTAACTGATTCTCCAACACACTGGCAACATCTTCTGTGCCGCCCGAGGTAGAGGCTTGCAGTTCTAAATGATTAGAACATTATTAGTCAGTTCACAGGGCTGGCACTCGCACTCGTGTTGCTTCTCAAAAAGCATCTAAATAAATCTAACTCCCATCTTCCAGGGCTGTAGTGTAGACCTGGTGAGCAGGGGCAAACCCATCCCTCTGGATCTTCTTAACTACCCTGTGTGACAAGCAGAGCAGTGTTATTATTCACCCCACACTCACCTCATGTGCTAAATCACAGATCAGGGAGGAAGAAGGCAGCCAGCTCACTGTCCAGCCCGAAGGAACTCATCTGCTGTACTGGACTGAGCGCCTGCTGTCCTGCCCCTGACCTTGGACTCTCCCACTAGCTCCTGGTAACTGCACAGAGATGGAAACTTGGGCTAGTCTTTCAAGCCCTTCATCAGTGCTAACAGACACGTGCCGCCTGAACTCCCAGGGCATATTTCCAAGATATTACAAATGCATATGCATTCCACCCTTAGCAATTGTTCAAGTCATTAACCAGCTCACTTTTTACACTGCAATCAGTAAAGGAGTGAAACAGGTGTTTGCAGGCGAGATAATCTCAGGTTACACAGCAAAGTACTTAGTGGATTACTTGTGGCTCTCAGCCTTATTAAGTCACACATTCAGCCCTGTCCCTTTAAGGACAGGCATTTGCTGGCCTCTCTACTACAGATTAGAGTGGATATGGCCTAAAGAGGGCGATGTCCAAAAAGGGCAGGGCCTGGGCTTCCCAGTGACCTCAGCCAACCTTTTCTGAGGGGATCCCCTTCTAAGGACTGACAGCTTTCCCAGGGGAGCTGAAGGCAAAAGGAAAGCAAAGCAGGAGGCACCAAGTGGGGCCTGATCTGTACTGAAGATCAATGCCAATGGCTTGGGAGAGGGGGCACACAGGAAGTGCAGAGGGCTCCATGAGGGCTTTGAGCCTATTCCTTCTGCCTGATCCCACCCAGGTTGGGATCTTTTTGAAATAGGTGCCCACCATAACTTGTCAAATGTGGGAACCGTAAGTATCCAATGTTCCCTGTTGGCCTCATTCACCCCAACTCACAGGTTCCCACATCCAAGCTGGGTACACATCCTCACCACCAATTTCTCTCAGACCACCAGCTGGTATTCTCATCTCAGGCTCCAACAAAGCCCTCACACTTTTTTGTCCTACCGTCTTGGAAAAAACTGAGGCAACCTCCAGGATTCAGGCACAAATATTTTCTCATAGATTCTAAAGGAGTCAACCTTCTGTCAAGTTTGTTAATTATAGGAAGTTTGGAACCCTAATCCGAAGATGATGAGTCTCTAGGGGTTCAAATCCACCAGTGGCTCCATGGGAGAAAGATGGGCATTTATATCCTCTGAAGACCAGCTAGAGGGTCAGCTATGAGTTGGTTCCGATCCAACAGCAATGAATGAGGTTCTTCCCTCTTGTAAGAGTATCCC